TTCAGGGTGTAGTCACCGCTGGGAAAGATGACCTTCTGGTAGCCCGGCTTCAACACGATGATCGTGTCACGTGCCTCCATGGCTCCTAGGCCCCAGATGGCCGGGAGATTGGCACCCGAGCCTTCTGCGATGTTGGAGGCATACTCCTCAATACGGGGGCTCGCCTCGTTGGCATACTGTACCCCGATCTTGAAGTTGCCCATCTTCCGACATATCGCAGCGCCCTCCGCAACACCATTGATGTAGAGGGTCTTGCTCAGGGTGCAGATGGCAGGTCGGTAGTTGCACCTGGCCATTATCTCCTGGAAGGTCCGCGCCGTGTTGGATCCAATGATGTTCACATTAGAACCAATGTCCATCATGAACGAGATACAGGGCATACCATCTTCATCAGGAAAGAATGTCCCATTGCGCGCTGCAAGAGCGACCTGTACGCCAGTGTGGTCGTTGGTGTGGTACGTGATCTGCGATCCGAGTGTACCCCTCAACAGGCGCTGTTCAAGAACCCATTGGCTCATGGTCAGCTCGGTGCACCACATCTGCTCGTACTGGCGGCGCTCCTCCACAGTAATCGGTTCCTGCTGGAGGACCCAATAGTTTGCAGATAGCGTGGACATCCATTCGCCTCCTGGTGGCAGCGTGTCTGTATCGTCACGCGCGTAGGTCAGCCCCTCTGTGTCAATCATGAACGTGGCATGAAACTGGGCTGCCTCTGCGCTCTCAGCGCTTGCCCGGCCTCTGGCGCTGACCGGGCTTGCCGCTCGAGAGGTCCTGGTTGATCCAGTTGGCCTTCGAATCCCGCCTCCGCTCCTGCCACTCCGCCTGATGTTGGCCTCCATGGTCCTCAGGAAACCTGGGTTTGGAGGTCCGTTTGCGGGTGGCCCCGCTTGGGCGGCGGGAGCCGCTTCAGCGGGTGGCCCCGCAGCTGGGGGCCCCTGCGCTCGGAGCGTGGACAGGATCGGCATCTGAATGCCTTGTTCTGGCGCTGGCCAGGGGTATGCTTGTGCAGCTGGGGCACGTGCGGATGGCTCCGCCGATAGTGAGACTCGAGCCTCCAGTGCCTCCACTGCTTCGCGTAACCGACGCATTTCTCGGGCATCTGCAACGTACCTTTCCTGCTGGCGCGCTTGGTCCGACTCAGCGTCGCGCTGTCCAGCATACGGGAAGTGTGCTATCACTATGCCCGGTCCACGGCATACGGCACAGGGGGCCTCATTCGGCGCACCTGGCCGCTGATTGCGGACGTGCTGCTGTGCAACACGGCCCCAGCATATGTCGTGAAAGAAGTGCCCGCACGCCAGTCTCCACACTGTAGTGCCCATCTCGTAGTTGTCCATGCAGATTGGGCACTGAGTGAAGTTGTAGTCTGAAATGACTGGAGCAGGCACGTCAGGGCGAGTCCGAGCTTGGCGCTCGAAAGTGGTTTCGCCCTCCCGATATGGCGTCGGTGGCGGCCGTCTGTCTGGCCGTTCAGCGGGTGGCCCCGCTTCTGCGGGTGTCCCCGCTTGGGCCTCGCGCTCAATCCTTCTCTGGATCGCGCGCTGTTGGCGCAGCCTAGTGTTGTCACGAGCCTGCTGCCTGGATGCCAGTATCGCTTGCTGCGTGTTGTGCACGTCGCGGATGTAGTCTGGCATGCTGCCCAAAGCGGCTGGCACCGCGAGACCAGCTGGCTGAACTATGGTCTCGGGGTCCGTCGGCGTGGGCATGTAGGCGTAGTGCGGCATAGACTGCGCATCGACCGCTCGTGTAAACTGCAAACGAAACATCTCATTAGCTAGGTTCCGAGTGTATTCGTTCGCAGGTGGCCCCGCAATCATAGGAGTGTTATTCATCTGCGCGTAGTACTCAGGGTACATCGGCGCGTCCATGGCCGGCGCCTCTGCTGGACCGTGATTGTCCCATCCGTATATCGGGTGTGATGCTATTCCTGGAATAAACACCTGTCGATATGGATTTGTGGGATCAGCATTTGGAGCATCTTCAGAAGTCCAACTCCAGAGAGGTCGAAAGTCGCCATGATTCGTAACATCTATGTTGCGGTTCCGCAACAGGCTGGGCACTCTATCAGCTTGTTGCTGCAGAAAAGTAGCCTGTGCTCTAAAGTTGGCTGCCCGACGTTCGTAGTCTGAACCTTGCTGTCCGTCAGCGGGTGGCCCCGCTTGAGCGGGTGGCTCCGCAGGCGTTCGCTCG